TTCTGTCTTCCCTGCTCAGTGCCCAACCCAAGTTCAAAGGCTGATGAGAGAGAGGATCTCATGAGGAGGTTTTACTCTAGGGAAAGTTGTTCAGTGAATGGGGTCTTGGCGCACAGAGAAAGATGTCAGGCTCTTTCTGGCTCCTTCTCAGCCTCGTTGCTGTAACTGCTGCTCAATCCACTCCTGAGGAACTGGCCAAGACATTTTTAGAGAAGTTTAACACTGAAGTTGAAGACCTGTTTTATCAAAGTTCACTCGCTTCTTGGGATTATAACACCAATATTACCGATGAGAATGTCCAAAAGATGGTGAGTGTTCATGGGTGCATAGGGGTATTTGTTGCTTCTTAAAGGTTAGATTACTGCTCACACAAATGAAAAGGGACATCAAAGAAGGGTTCTCAGCTGGGAGGTTGGATGTTTGCCTCAGTATTTCTGATTCTTGAGTCCTAGATGACTGAACTTAATTGAATTTGGGGTTCATTTGGAAAATTGTTACAAAATTATTCACTGGTCTCAGTCCAGATTCTTGGACACCAGTGCACATGCTACATAAAGTTGCCACAATAATTCTCATCATAGTCGGGGTTTCAAAGCATTTCATGGAAATGCTATAAATTATTTAGATAATAATTTCCTCAAGCCTGCAAAGTCAACAGGAATATGTAAAGACTTTCTCAAATAATATATTAACTGAAAAATGCAACTGGAGGCTTAGTGAAAGAGGTAGCTAGTAATTATCTAACCATGGATCGGGTGAGGCTGGACTTGGAAGTTTCTTCCTTTGCTGTCACAGAGTTCTGAGGGACTTCCGAAGGTTACAGAATCCATCCGGAGCCCTCCAAGAAAAAATATAATTAAACCACTTCTGACAAATCTCAGAATGCTCTGAGAAAGCAAGATGCTTTGTTCGATGAGTACAAGGGTTTAAGGTTTCTTTTCTCACAGATCTCGAAGCAGTATCCTTACACATTTAGTGCTGGAAATTGAGCAACATCATTTAAAAAAAGATTTTCGTGGCATTTTTACAGTAATACATTCTTTCGAATGCGTAGTTCAAAAGCTTATTTTTTCCCCCAGTGATTAATAGCTTGCATGTTAAAATTAAATTACTGCCATTCACTGGACAGATCAAATCTGAGACCTACAGTCTCATTTGAAATCCTCCAGTGTTTTTTTTTCTTTTTTCTTATTTTTCTAAAGCTCAAAGAAATCCAGGAGATTTTGACAGTCCAGTATTGTAACAGTAGATCATTTTTTTTTCTTGTCCCATATTTTGGTCTTACCTCTTTTCATCTCTTCGTTGTTGCTTTTCTCTCACTTTTTATTTGATCTCTGTTGGAGGTGCCTATAGTGTGTTGTGTATCTGTTTTCATGCTTAGCTGAATGGTACTGTAGGTGGTAAAGGTATATCAGCATCATGCCTTGGAGCTCTGGAACTAGACTGCCAAAGTCCAAATCCTAGCTCCACCACTTTCTAGCTGGGCGAACTTGAGCTGGTTAATTGACCTCTCTGCACCTTAGTTTTTTTGTCTGTGAAAAATAACATAATGATCATATCTGCCCTATAGGGTCATTGTATAGATTGAATTAATTCAAAAACCAATCAGAATAGGGTTTGATGCTTGTGCGCATAGGAGAACAATAAGATATCATCGTTATTAGTGTGAGAGGGAGTTATAGTTGCTGAAGAGACTTGTAACAGTTCTGTCGAGTGCCCAGATGCTGAGAAGGCCTGTGATAGAAGAAGATGTAGCGAGGCTTACTGAAATCATCTCTGGATCATTAAGTGCTATCACTTTTGAATTACAGTGGTTGGTAAGAGCAAAGGCCAGAAATGAAAGGGCATAAATGAAATTGGCCAAATTGAAAGAAAGTTTGGGCCATTTAAAGGCACGGGAAAATATTTGAATGCAAGAAGCAAAAGAGGGGCCAAATATCTCCTTCCTCAATCAGTGGTGAAGGGTGCATTAGTGCACTTCGGTGCACCTGTGTGGGTTACCTGGGGAGAGGGGCAGTGGGCAGGGAGGGAAATGGCCCTTCTTTCTATTCTCGTATCACATGTAGTGATATCCGCTAATGAAGCAGGCACTGTGGATGGTGCCATGAGAGGTACCAAGATGGGCAGGCTGCTGGCGGCCATGCTTAAAGATAGAAGATTTAAAGATTTGAGAAATGGAGAATGTTCCCCAAAAGAGACCCCAAAAGAGAGCAACTGGAATGATTTAAGGGGATCAGAGAGCATTAGGAGGGAAAGCAGAATTAACTGTACAAAGCCTAACTCAAAAAAGAATTAGTCTGAGATGGAACAAGAAAGGATAGCATGTTTATAATTGGATTGGCCAAATCTTTTCATACTAGGAAGGTGGTGCCTTTGAATGCTCAAAAGAGATGAATTTACAATAAACAGAATGAGGTGCCATTGACATTACAGGTGGTGAAACTGGTAAGACTTGTAAAACGAGGCCATTTTTTTTTCCTTTTCTCCTCCTCTACCTCCCTCCCCTTTGGCAACCATCAGCTTGTTCTCTGTATCTATGGGTCTGTTTCTGTTCCGTTTGTTCATTTGTTTTGTTTTGTTTAGATTCCACATATAAGTGAAATCATGCAGTATCTGTCTTTCTCTGTCTGCCTTCTCTCATTTAGCTTAATTTCATTCCTTTTCATTGCCGAGTGATAGACAAACTAGGCCATTCACTAATCTAAAAAAGTGAGACATTAAAAACAATAGATGGGTTCTCAAAGTATTTAAGCAAACGTAAGGACTGTAGATCCACTGTGGGTAAGGAAGTACTGGGTCAAGTGCTCTGATGGACCCAGATATTTACTCTTCCCGATATCAATGACCAGGGTTATATCATTTTGCATTACCATCGCACTGAAGGTGATGTGACTGTGTCCTTCATCATGTGATTTATTTAGACAAATGGAACATTAGTAAACGTGATGCATGTGGAGGCTTAGAATAGACTTGAACAATGGGGCTTATCTTTTGCATCTCTGCCTTTGCCATGAGAACATGCCTGCCCTAGCCAGCTAAAGAATGAGAGACACGTGGAGTAGTTACCCCAGCAGAAACTGATCCCCTAAAGTTGTAAGCCAATCTAGTCAAGATCAGCAGAGCTCCCTGGCAACTTCCAGTGATTCCAGGCAGGTAAACAATAAGCACTTATGCCGCTGAGGTTTTGGTTGTTTGTTATGTAATATTATTGTAACAATAGATAAATAATATAGGAGGGGAAATTTGGGTCAAGTTTCACAGTTGGAATCTTGGGCTTGCCAGCCTATGGATCTGACCTAGCATGGTGATTTTTAGATCAAATTCTGAGAAAATACTTTAAAATAATAGAAAGCATCAAAATTTAATCAGTGTGGTATCCCCAAAGCTCCCTACTTAGAAGAATTCCATCGGATACAGATAAGGGGAAAAGCTTGGTTCAAAACAGGTTTCCAAATAGTTCAGAAATTCAGTGAAAATTAATTCCCAAACGCTTGTCGTGTACTAGATAATAAATTGCCCCCTTACTTTATAGCATATCCAGTTCTCCTGTCTGAGATTGAATATTCAAAATTAAACTGTAATTATCTCCTCAGTAAAATGATATTACTTTTTCTGCATCGCCTCTTCTTTGTAAGTGTATTGTTGGCTTGATTTTCTAAATAAGGTCCTTTGTAAATCAGAGGGATTTTTTTTCTTTTTTTGCAAAGTCAGAAGCTCTGTAGCAACATCGGAGGTCCCTGGACAATTATTCCTGGAAAAGAGCAAAAAGGTCCCATTGCAGCCGAGGCAATCCAGGTCATTGTTCTAGTATTTGGCAGTAACTAGTACAGCTGCCGCAAATGTCTGTCCATGCAGCTCAAGAGGGTGTTGAAAAATGCCCTCTCGGAGCTCCAAAGGTCCCTGAGAACGCTTCATAAATATTTTTTGGTGAGGTCTCAGAAGCCGTGAAGAGAGAGCAGGAGGCCCGTACTTCCCCTTCGGGTGCTCTCTGGGGCTTCTTCAGCCCTTCGCTACTGGGAGTCCCTAGAGTCCTTGGGCATGCCTGATTCCTGAACCTGTTTCCTTGCCTTCAGGGTAATTTTAAACTGCTTCTTATGTACCCAAGGGGAATGTAGACTTCATGCCTGTCTCTGACGAGTCTGTCTCATCCTCCCTGACACACACGATTATCTACACACGGGTTCAGAGGTGGGGAAAGATCACTGTACTGGAAATACAATGGAATTCAAGAAATTCGATGCTATTGTGACTCTCCTGACCTGGCTGTGAGACCTTGGGCAAGTCACTTATTTCTTTGTCTCTTGAAATGTAAGGGTGTAGATGGGCACAGTAGATAACAATTGTGAATGAATATGGTCCACGTGCAGAGAATTAACACGAGTCTAGTGCATTGGAGGCCTTGTTCATATTACTTTTCTTTTGTCATGAAAACTTGATAGGGTCCCAGTTTAGCGATGTAATTTTGGTGAAATTAATCTCGAGCGACTCAAAATGACATGTTTATACCCACATTTCACACGATTATTCACTGATGTAAGCATTTGGACAGGACGCCAGGCGACCCCCAGCTACACCCAAGGAGGATAGTCTGGTGGTCAGGAACTGCCACTGCTTCTTCGTGTATGCCAGATAACTGGGAAAAAGAGTATTACATCAATTTGGCTAAATCCTTTGGTTTGGAACAGTTCTATGGAGGGTTCAGACCTAGTTATAGGACCTAGGGAATAAGATGATTTTTTTTTTTTTTTGCTTTTATTATTGCAGGCTCTAAATAACAGTTTTATTGAGATATAATTCATGTACCATAAAATTCACCAATTTAAAGTATGCAATTCAATGCTTTTTAGTATAGTTACAGAATTGGACAACCATTACCACCATCTAACTTCAGAACATTTTCATCACTCCAAAAAAGAAACCACGTGCCCAGTAGCAATCGCTCTTCCTCTCTCCAATCTCAGCCCTGAGCAACCACTAATCTGCTTTCTGCCTCTGCAGATGTGCCTACTCTGAACATTTTAGATAAATGGAATCATACAATAGGTGGTCTTTTGTGACTGGCTTCTTTCACTTTGCATGTTGTGGCACGTAACAGTCCTTTGTTCTTTTTTCTTGCCAAATAGTATTCCATAATATGAATTTTTCTTTACTTTTTATCATAAAATTTTCAAACACGTAAAAGAAGACAGACCAGTATATTGAATCTCCTAGTACTTATCACTCAGCTTCACCAATTATCAACACTTCGACCAATCTTCTTTTATTTTTCTACTCAACCTTATGTATATTGGATTATTTTGAAGGAAATCCCAAACAGCAAATAGTTTTGTATGTAACTATTTCACCTTGTAACTCTCAAAGTAAGAATTTTTAAAACAACCTTAATAATACTACCATGCCAAAAACTTAGCGATAATTCCTCAGTATCATCAAATATCTAGTCAACATTCAAATGCACACTGCGGTCTCATATATATTTTTTAATTTCACCTGGTTTATTTCAATTAGGATCTAGCAAAGTCCTCTCCTTCCAATCGGTTTGATGGATGTACTTTAAGTCTCTTTTAATCTATAGAGTCCCTTTCTCACTTTTTTTTTTTTGCAATTTATTTGTGGAAGAATTGAAATGTTGGTCCTATAGAAATTCCCCCTTAACATTGTTTTACATGCTCTTTTGTCCCCTTTATTTCCTGTACGTGTATATTAGATCTAGGGCAGAGGTCAGAACACTTTTTCTGCAACAGGCCAGATAGTAAACATTTTGGGCCTTGTGGGCCCTCCCACCTCTGTTCAACTCAGCCATGGTAGACTATGCAGACTGTTTGACTGCCATCGTAATGCAAAAGAAGCCATAGACAATACATAAATGGGTGTGATTATGTTCCAATACAATTTTATTCGCAAAACGGAAGGTGGGCCTGTCCTCATCTAGATACTTGATCCACTCAGGTTTCACCTGTGAGTTATTTAATAGGCTTGGGAGTTGAATTTACACTACTAGCATGGTGCGGGATTATAGAGCCAAGAGATTAACAAAAAACTAGTTCAGGTCTCCGGAGCTCTGGAATAAAGAATAGCTTGGGATGAAACAGTATGTCCTAAGGGGTCAAAATTCAAGGCAACGTAACGTAATTTTTTTTGATGATTTAAAGTATAACATTTGTAGTATGGTAGTGATAAATAAAACATATCTTTAAAGTTCACATATGCAGTATAATAAAAATGTTCTAAGACTGAGGCCTTTTGAGGATTGTGAGTTGTTTCCAAAGTAGATTGAGAATAAAATTATTCCTATAATTTGGTTTCAAAATTTTACTGAAATTTTGCTTGATAGTAAATAATCCCGGATTGGGTGAATAAAGGGTAGGGATTGAGAGGTGAGTGGTGGGTTACAGAGATGAGTCTGTGCTGTAAACCAAACTCTTTCTATAGGTCTCTCCTTCACACTCATGCGTGTTCGAAGACTAGAATGTGTCGAATACAATCTATGGTCAATGGGTAAAGAGCATTATCTTTGGAGATAAATATACCTGGGTTGACACCCTGGTTCTTCCAATTACTAGCTGTGTGACCTAGGGAAAGTTACTTACCCACTCTGTGCCTCATTTTGCTCATTTGTGAAGTGAACAGAATCACAACTACCTCACAATATTGTTTGTGAAGATTAATCAATAAGTAGTTCCTGAGGGATTGCGTGAGCTCGATAAAAAGATAAATCATTTTTCATTTCCATTGCCACTATTCTTTTCATCGCTTGTCTGATCCATCGTTGCCACTTCCATGCACCACTTCCATCATGTCACATGCCTGCATGGAACCCTTAAGTGACTTCCTAGCGTTCACAGGATAAAAGTGAAATTCCTTGGCCTGGAAAGTACAATCATGCCTGGAATCTATACTAGTCACCTATTGTGTAAAAAATTACCACAAGCTTAGCAGCTTAAAGCAACACACGCTTATGAACTCACAGCTTCTGTGGGTCAAGAGTCCAGACAAAGCTTAACTGTATCTTCTGCTTCTGAGTCTCATAGTTTGCAATCAAGGTCTTGGTCTCACCGGCGGCTTGATGGGGGGATGAATCCACTTCTGAGCTAATGTGGTTGGTGGTAGCTTGACATCCTTGTATGCTGCTGGACTGAGGTCCTTAGTTTCTTGCAGGATGTCATCCAGAGGCCATCCTCAATTCCTTGCCATGTGGCCCTTTCCATAGGGTAGTTTGCAACATGGCATCTTGCTGCATTCAAGTCAGCAAAGGAGACAGTCTTCCAGCAAGATAGAAATCTTATATAGCATAAACATGTTCAACCGGTCACTTTGGGCATATTCTACTGGTTAGAAGTGAATCATGGGTCCTGCTCACACTCAAGGGGAGGCAATCACACAAATTGGTACGACTGGGAAGTAGAGATAATGAGAGCCATCTTAGAGTCTGTCTACCGCAGGATCCAGGATCCAGATGCTAGCAGTTGATTGCCAGCTCCACTATTTATTTCTGTCAGCCCCTTAATGCACATATGAAAAATGGAGATAGAATGATTTTCTGTCTCACGGGGTTGTTAAGGAGATCCAACGAGGTAAATTATTTTGCAAAATACTCTACACACATCCAACTCTTTCCTACTTTAAGGTCTGTCTTAAGTCCCACCTTCTCCATGAGGGCTTACCAAGTCTAATGGCCTGCGTGAGTCTCTCTTTTCTTATAGCAGAAACTGCTTGGCTCACTCATAGTTTATACATTATCATATGCTGTTATACATCATTAGTGAAACAGTCACGATGCATATTTTATCTGCCTGATAAAACTGTAAGCAATTTAAGGACAAGGACCTTTTTTCTATAAGTAATAAAATAGCCAACTTTTTTGAATGCATAGGATGTATCATATTTTTATTTAAGTCCTCTTATTACTCTTTGAGGTAAGTCCTATTATTACTCTTATGTTAAAGATAAGATGACTGTAATCCAGAGAGACTGAATAATTTACCCAAGGTCACACATCTAGTTAGAGGTGTCTGACTCCAGGAGTGGAGCTCTTACTTGCTTCATATGCTACCTCTTTTATATGGTCTAGAGAAGTACAATATACAAAGTTGTTGCTCATTTTAGTTTTTAGTAAAATGGAAATGAATTTATGCATTGAAGGAAGACTGTACTAGAAAGTCTGGAGGAGTCCATTTGCCTCCTGATGTTCAAGAGAGGGGCCGAGCGAGTCCTGGAATCGTCACTTACTTGTTGGTTTCTTTTGATGGTAAAAAATATCATGGCTACCAAATGGCTATACTCCGGGCAACCTTCTTGGGGCACGTAATTTAAGGTCAGAATCTTTGATAAGTCATGGCACCATGGAGCTTACTGAAAACTGGTGCTCATTTCTCATGGTTCCCATGGACATGAGGGTCTGTATTCCCATTAAGTCCACTCTGAGCTCCATAGTCTCTCCTCTTAGAGCATTCATCCTTGAATCCTGGTCAACTCATCCATGTCACAGTGCTAAGGCCACAAATTACAGGGCCCTACAACGTGAATCATCTGTGAGAATTCACTTCCAGTTCTGGGGACAGGACCCTTGGGAAAACTAGGCACTGGGCCAGAAAGAGAGAGAGTGACCAAGAGTGGCTTGGTCACTCTTAACTTAAACTTTGACCTTCAGTAAAGTAGAGAACTAAACCACTCAAGAAATATTAGATGTTCCACCAGATGTTCTCTGGACCATGTCTTCTGTCTTCTGTTCTGTTTAAGCAGCGTCATTCTGACTTCAATTTAATTTTTTGTCATTTCAGAATGAAGCCAGGGCCAAATGGTCTGCCTTTTACGAAGAACAGTCCAAGCTTGCCAAAGCTTATCAGCTAGATGAAATTCAGGATCCCATACTCAAGCTACAATTACGGATCCTTCAGCAGAGTGGGTCATCGGTGCTCTCAGCAGACAAGACCAAACGAGTATGTGAACATGCTAGTACTGATCCCAAGAGCTGAAATATTTGAGGAATATTAAACATTAGTATCTCGCATGGCTGCTTCCTTTATCTGCAAAGAGTGTAATGCTGCTATTAAAAAGAGCTCTGTGCCTAGGTAGGGTGACCACATAATTTATCATCCATACTGGAATCCTTCTGAGAGTGAAAGAAGACACTGGTAATAATTATGTTAGGACACAGAATTAAACCGGGATTGTCTGGGCACAGTAGTGTATATGGACACCCTCTACAGAGGTAACTTTTCTGAGGACCAGGCAGCCTGAGGAATACACTTAGTCTATGTCTGTGGTTCTCGACTGGTGGTGATTTTGTCTCTCAGGGACATTTGACAATATCTGGAGACATTTTTGGTTTTCACAACTTGGAAGGGATGCTATTGGCATCTAGTGGGTAGGGATGCTGCTAAGACAGCCCCCAACGACAAAGAATTATCTGGTCCAAAATGTCAATAGTGGCAAGCTTGAGAAACCTCATATTGTAGTATAATTCTTTCCTGCTTTCATACTTGATTCTCCTCTGCAACCTCTTTAGCAAGTGACTAACGACCTCAGCTCAGATTGCTTTATCGATTGGAAAGACACTCCCTCCACTGAGCAGTAAGTGCTTTACCTCCACTTTGTTCTGCCTTCTAAAGCCAAATTGCTCTTTCTGATAATAGTCTGTAAGTAAATGAAGGCAGCAATTTTTTTAAAAAACTAGTTAGTCTTTTGTTCTCTAGTCTAAACATTCTTCACTCTGTCAATTTTCCCCTATACAATTGTTTTGAGTCCCCTAACCAGCCTCAGTTGCTGTCTTCATTTTGTCAATATCCTTGAACTGAACACAGCTTACCATGTATATATCCTATCTTATTCAATTCTCTTGATAACGCTGTAAGGTAATCAAGACATTTGGTTCATAAACCATCTAAAGAGTTGAAAAGTAATTGCTATTATTAGGGTTTTTTTTTTTGGTTTTTTTTTTTTTTTGGGGGCAAATTTCATGCTTGCCTCATGTTGACATCACTGTCAATGACGTCTCTGAATCCCTTCTACCAACATTGCTCTAAAGTGATACCTGTTAAAATCCTATTCTTAGGTGGGTAGTTCGTCTAAATTCAAGAAAGCCTATATTCACCCCCTGTTAAAATAACATCTCTCATCTCACCTCTCTAGCCCAGGAGTCAACAAACTTTTCTGTAAAGGGAGAGATAGTAAATATTTTAGGTTTTGTGGGCTGTATTGTCTCTGTCACAATGAGTGGACTCTGCTGTTAGGGTGGGAAAGCAGCCATAGCTAATACATAAACAAATGGGCGTGGCTGGGTGCCAATAAAACTTTACAGAAATGGGCAGCAGGCGGGGTTTGGTCTGCAGATCATAGTTTATCTAACCTATTGAAATCTTTTTTTATCTAAAATATTTGGCTGTTTAACATCAAAGCCTTCTTTCTCAGTTGCTTATGCTCTGGAATTCTGTGTTCTAATCTGCATCTATAAAAAGAAAAAATGCATGATAAGAACAAAGATGAAACCATATGGCACATATCTTCCTACAAGTTGATATTTATTATTCTGCATTCCTCGGATCTAATTATCCAACTAGTTATTTCATCCACTTTATCTTATCCATTCCATGCTCCCCAAACTTTTTCACAAAGACACCATGAGAAACCTTGCCTATAGATCTCTTAGAGTCTACACAAACTCGATCTAGCTTAGATGGAACCTGGACATTATATTTTTAAAAGATCCCAGGTAATTCTAGTGTGTAGCCAGGATTGAAAACCAGTGAAATGCATGTAAGAGCTTGAAGTGTTTGGGAAGAGGGGAGACTCAAGGATGCATGAATTCAATGGAGAGGAAGAAGGGGGAGACTGGAAAAGCAGGTAGAGAAAGAGACCATGAGGGGTTTTGTGCCATGGGAAGGAATTTGGGTTGATGCCTTTGGACTATGGGATCTTATTGAAGTTTTAAGCGTGGGATCTAGTTCATGTTTTAGGGTAATGACTCTAGTAGCAGAGCGAAAGAAGAGAAATAGGAGAAGGGGAAACAGTGCTTCTGAAATCATCCGTGGGAGAGAAGCAGTTCTCCCTCCCTCCCTCTGTTTCTCCTTCTCTTCCTTTGTTACCAATCCATCACAGATCAATACTTGGTTAAGTTCATTGATCGCATGCCTAGATATCATGGAAATAGCAGGTGGTTTTAAAAGGTTATAAACATATATCCTTTTAATTACTGTACTTATCACAGAATGGAAATGAACCATTTGCTGACTTCTACTGCTCCATGGACCGTACTTTGAGTAGCACTGCTTTAGTCGGTTACCTTTACTCTCCTTTACCTGCAGGATGAAGTTTAAATTTTTCAATATGGCATAGAGAACTCTTATGATCTGGCTCCAGCTTACTTCTCCATTCTCATGTCCTCCACTTCCCTCAATCGGCACCACTACTCTAGTTTCCTTCAACATGTCAACACTCCGTCTTTCCCAACATCTTCCCCCATTTAGGCTTTGTTCTCTGTTTTTCTTCTCTACCTGACCAATTTTCACTTCTCTTCCAAGACGCAGCTCTAATGTCCCCTCCTCTTGGAAGCCATTCCTGAATCTCCAGGTTATTTACTTATCGATACCACTCTTCCCCATACTGCCACATTACTTTTTGGTGGCAGTTATAGCACTCGTCACTCTATTATGTAATTATTGATGTCATGGCTGCCTGTCAGAATTGTCACAGTGTAGGACATAGTAGATGTTTAATAAATGTGCACTCGACGAATGCTGAATTAAATAACAAATGCGCTTCCCTGTGCATGAGTAGGTGAGAAATGTTTTGGGGATTTTGGTAGATCTGTTTACTTCAGTCACTCCACATATATTTATAACATGCTTACAAGGCTCTGTGCTAGTTGTTAGTAGGGAAATTTAACTGAGATATTCCTGCCCTACATAAAGGAAGATACTTGGCACAGAAGATGTGAACTGCTGTATTTTGAGGCATAAGAAAATCACACGGCCAAAAAACATTTTTATATTAGCATTCTCTTTAGCATGTTTCCATTTTTAACATTATTTATTATCTTTAATTTGCAGTTGAACACGATTCTAAATACAATGAGCATCATCTACAGTACTGGAAAAGTTTGTAAGCCAGATAATCCACAGGAGTGTTTGTTACTTGAACCAGGTAGGCTATTAATTTTGAACAGTGATTATGAAATTTACTTTTTTATTCCGAGTTTTATAAGTCAGATCGATGTTGGAGAATGACATTGTGCCTTTCAGATAGATAATCCAAAGATGACAAGATTCCATATATGTGTATTTCAGTACATATACGAACTTTGAATTTTTAACAAAACTTCATTTTAAAGTCTGTCACATTCAAAGAATTTAATTAACTTAGTCCTTTAAGGATGTCAATGCTTTATTTTCTCTGAAAAATTATTTGGAACTATAATAAGGGTGAGGAAATTAATGAATCATGAGATTTCATTTTGTAGCTTTATGACCTTGATGTCTGCCTGCCTTTTAATTCGTGAAAGTTCATTTAATTGTTTACCAATAAAAATTTTACAAATTCACATTTATTTCCCTTTGGGTGCTTTGCAATAACAGGTTTGGATGACATCATGGAAAGCAGCAAAGATTACGATCAAAGGCTCTGGGCTTGGGAAGGCTGGAGGTCTGAGGTTGGCAAGCAGCTGAGGCCATTTTATGAAGAGTATGTGGTCCTGAAAAATGAGATGGCAAGAGGAGAGAGTAAGTTTGCTGGTCTGTAGAGGTCCTGAAGCTCTCTTTGGGGCCGTGGGACTATTTCTCATGAATTACCAAGGTCACTTTTTGATATAAGAGCTACCCCTAAATTAATGATCATTTGCTGACCAATTCATGTTGCCTGTCTCAAAGAAGACTCTACTAGGGAATAAGGAAAGGTGAACTGACATTCTGTGGTTAAAAAGCTCAGGACTGAGACTCAACTACAGGGCCTCGAACAAATCAGTTGCGTGGAATTCTCAGGCTCCCAGGGGTTCCTGAGGTCATCTGGGCATTCAGTAGAGATTTTATTTCTCAGAAAGGATGAGAGACAGAGAAACCATCTCTTACCTAAACTCCCATTTAGCCACAGTTCATTCTCAAAGGACTTTTGTGTGTTTACCTCAGGGTGGTGTCACAGAAAGAAAAAAAATCAGATTGATTTAGACTGGAAATTCATTATTTTCTGCAATTGTAAGCATATCTCAAATCATGTGGTCGCAAAAAATTTTAACATGGGGAGGATTTTCCATATCTCTTAACTTATTCTCTTGCCTGTGTAATGAGCTGAAGCCATGGAATTATGAATAACTTTATGCTTTGGTGATTCACTGCCTCCTGGGGTGGAGTAAGAAAAAAATATTTTTCATCTGTTGTTTCTAAATGTCTTTCACTGCACTTAAACTCATATTCTCAAGCCGTAGGCAAGCTGGAGACAGTAGCTCATCACTGCATCCTTCCATCCAAATATTTATTTCTATCCTCACCTTCCTGATCATGCATTGCCAATGTGCATGTAAAAATAGACATTATTAAAATATGTTTGCAAACTTTATTAGCTGATACCCTAACATGAGCTCGTGTTTCCTGATGATGAGATACTATATATATAAAGTGCACGGAGATGCACTGTGTATACATGTGATTTGCAAACACACACATGTCCACTGTGGCAATGTCTGAGATGAGTTGGGTTACATTTGAAAATATAAAGCCCTGAACAAAATGAGAATTTAAATACTCAGATCCACTCACATGTTTTAAAGTTAAAGATTCAGACTGACCTGTAGAGAAAGTAGAGATCCAGGGTTAGGAGACTAGGAGTGTGCCCTTGGATGAATGATTTAACCATCTAAGAGCAGGCTGTTAATCTGCACAGTGGATGTTATAATAACGTCAGTCTCAGAGAGCGTTTGCACTTACTAGATGAGACAATGTATTTAATTTTCTGGCACAGAGCAAGTGCAAGTGTTTAACAGACTTTAGTTAGTGTTATTATTCATTTACATCTCTTTGAGTTGATATTTAGAAGGGCCGATAAAAATGTGACAGATCTTTGGATTTTTTTTAACCTCCTGGCAGGGCTCATCTATGTATACTGTACTTTATCTCTTTCTTTCCCTTACATTCTTCTCTTTCTCCTTTTTCAAAACAGATTATGAGGACTATGGGGATTATTGGAGAGGAGATTATGAAACAGAGGGGATAAATGGCTCTGCCTATAACCGTGACCAGTTGATTGAAGATGTGGACCGTACCTTTGCAGAGGTAACCGAGAAACTGTACAAAGAGACAGATGTTGGACGGTGCATGGGAAAAAGGGATGATGACCAAACACATCTGGCTTGTTCTTAACACACTGGTCAGCCATTCCCAGGCCTTGTAGTTATGGAATATTAGAGCTTGAAAGGACTTTAAAGAATAACAGGGCAACTCCTACAGGTGATCGGCTTTGCTCTGCTTCCCTCCCCTTTTCAGCCATTAACCGGCGATTATCAACAGCAAGATTATAAGAAGGAAAGATTATAGGAAGGAACGGATTTTTAGATTCTAAGAAGGAATGGTGTTCGCGAACTACCTGGGGCCAGCACTGTCTTCCTCTGTTAGCAGGGCCATAGCTTTTGCTTCCTTCCTCAGGAAAATCAATACCACTGTTTCCTTACCATTGACTAAGGAACACTTTATGGGGAAGGGAGATCCCTATGAGTAGTGTCCCATGGACGCTTCTTAATGTCTCCCTCTTCCTTCATTTTGATCTCTGCATTTCTCCCTTTATCCCTGCTCTTCACACTTCTTATATGAACTACTCTTCATAGCCATAGTGGGGCAGAGCTATCAAAAATGGAAGCAGGACAAATGACCCTCCCCCGCCAAAGAAATGAGCAAAACATTTGAATAAATACATCATCAAAGAAATGGCAAATAAGCAACTAAAACCATTTTATTAGGCAAATATAAATTAAAAACCATGATTAAAAGCCACTACACATGACCAGAATGGCTGTCATTTAAAAAGACTGACAATACCAAGTGCTGAGGATGTGGAGATGCTGGAGCTCCCATAAACTGCTGAGAGAAATGTCAAATGGTATAGCCACTCTGAAAAATAGTTTGACAGTTTCCTAAAAGTTAAACACACAGTTACCATATGACTAAGGCATTCCACTCTTAGGTGTCTAAATGAGAGCTATGAAAATGTATATCCATACAAAGACGTACACGCGAATGTTCATAGAAGCATTATTCATAATAGTCCCAAACTGGAAACAACCCAGTCATCCCACAGCTGGCGGATTTTATCCATGAGATATTAACTGAAGCAAACTCCGATGTATTCATACAATGAAATACTACTCAGTAATGAAAAGGAATGAACTATTGATACATGCAATAACATGGATGAACCTAAAAAACATTATGCTGAGTGAAAAGCCAGACACAAAAGTTCACATATTGTATGATTTCGTTTATATGAAATGTCTAGAATAGGCAAACTATAGAGACAGAAATCAGTTCAGTGATTGCCTGGGGCTGGGGGTGGGAGTGAGATCAACTGCAAATGGACACAAGGAAATTTTGGGGGTAAGAAAGTGTTCTAAAACTCTGTGGTGGTGACAGCTGCCAGACAGTATAAATTTACTAAAACTTGTGAAATTATACACTTAAAGATGGGTGCATTTTATGGTATGTAAATGATATTTCAATTTAAAAACAAAGGAAAGTCTACGGCCATACTAACCCGAAAAAGCCCGATACCGTCTGATCTCAGAAGCTAAGCAGGGTTGGGCCTGGTTAGTACTTGGATGGGAGACCACCTAGGAAGACCAGGTGCTGTAGGCATAAAAAAATAAGGGATTGTAAGCTGACAAGGTCCTTGCAATCTGTGCGGTCAACCAAGGGTTGCCTTGCCTAAAAAAAAAAAAAAAAAAAATTTAATAAAAAAATTAAAAAACAAAGGGAGTAGGCAGCATCTTAAAAATGAATATTTTTTACACCTGCTTTCACTTTGGGGACTGTATTCCTCCAGATATATTTATTGCTGTATGCAATGGAGCTAGTCGTCATCAATATCTGGAAAGAAGGGATGTTTTCAAACTCCCCAGAACATTTGAGAGGAGAAGAAATTAGAATTTAGGGAAATTCTACTTGTCTAAAGAAGCTTCTACTTTTAGTGTTGGGGATTGGACATTGAAGTAAGCTTCTCTTGGTCTTAAACTTTCTTCCTGGGCTTTTCAGATTAAACCATTATATGAACAACTTCATGCTTATGTGAGGGCAAAGTTGATGGATGTTTACCCTTCCCATATCAGTCCGACTGGCTGCCTCCCTGCCCATTTGCTTGGTAAGAAATTCCAGGAAATAATTTTGCTCAATGTTATTTCCACCAATAAAGTTGTTTTTGGGAGTGAGAATCAACATGCAACTTTTGAAAAATTCTGTGAATGGAATTAGTAACATTATAGAAATCACATTTTGCAAGCATTGTCTTCAACAGAAAAGCCATTTTAAATTGTTCTCTATTGCATTACTTTATTTTATATATAAACGGTTATTATGTTGGCCACAATCCATATGATAAAAGGGTTATTTAAGATAACTAGAGAAGGAACTCCAAGTTAAATTGAAAATGGAAATGGGGGGAAATAAGTCTTATTATTTAAGTTGGCTGGCTAAGCTCTTGAGGTGGCATTTAGAATTTTAATATCTTAATGTCAGAGGAAAGAAGCTTGGTAGGCCGGATGTGGTCAGCCATAAGAGCAAGGCTTTCTAGAATTAAGATATAGCCCAAGTGCAAGTTTATAAGTTCATTCTAAACTGGACCAGTTGCTTTTACTGTAAACTATTTGGTTTGGAATCATACGAGTAATGAATGACATCTTCATCATGAAGGAAGATGCCTAGATTAGTAGGAAAATCAATCTTCCAAGAACTTTGGATTCTGCTGTGGGGCCTTTGTAGACCATGCAAAACCAGGGGCCCTTTAATGAGCCTCCCAGTTTTCCTCCAGAGAGTGGCTGTCCTCCACTTCCCTTTCCATCTCCCCAAAAGCTGAGGCCAAAGAAAATATACATGTTTGAAAACTTCATCTCATGCATACATAACATTCTTGGTACAGTCAAACTAAGTTAAAAAACAGGAGAATATGGACGAAGGACCTGTGGAGACTTTTTACTCCAAAGCAGTATATAAATACTCTCTACAATGTCTTTGGCAGGCATTCTTCAGTAATTCAGTTTCTGCTTAAACCTGCCTGGTATGATGTGCCTCTTTTTTCCTTCCAAGATAGACTAATCTGTTGCTACATGGCACTAATTATAAGAAAGTTCTACCTTGTGTGGAACTGAATCAACAGCCCCTCTAATAACTTCTATTAATAATGTCTAATTCCGTATTATGAGGTTACCCATGGTATTTCTACTCTTCTACAAGATGGGTTTCCAGATATTTATAAATAACTGTCATAGAAGACATAACATAATATCTGGCACAAGAATATGTACTCAGTATATTTTAATTTTATTGTTATCATCATGTATACACTGTTTTCTTATTTTAAGTTAAATGTCCTATACACATTTTTAACCATTCTTTACGATCTCACTTTTCTAATCTCCTTTGGACAAGTTATCCATTGATGTCCCTCTTCAAATATCATGCTAAGAACTGAACTGTTATCCCAGATGAGGTTTGACCAGCATGGAGTAAAAATGGCTGACTTTGCTCTAGACACTGTAATTCTGTTCATTTACATTAAGGTCATGTTTGGGTTTTAGAAGCCATGTCATACTGTTTATTGGGTCCCTTTTGGTTTTTTACATGTGGATTGTTTTTCGGCTTGACGTCGCCTATCACATATTTCTATAGTGGATAGATGTTTCTTTAAAATTTAAGCGTAGACCTTAAATCATGAGTTCATTGGAATATTCTTTATGTAGTTATGTTGTTCCATTCCTTTGCTGTCAGGATTTTAGTCCAGCTATTAGATTGACTTTTTCTAGATCCATCTTCCCTCTTAGGGTCTCTAACTTAACATTTATTTGAAACCCAACTTAACATTTATTTGAGATGTTTGAAATATCACCCAGTTAAGTGTATTACTATAGTATAGTAATAAAAGTAGAACTCAGTCACTAGTTAGTAGAGATTCCAGATTGATGAACCTATGTGATCTCTCTTGAATCAACATTAGGGATTACTGATAGTTTAATTTGTAGTATTTTGTCCCTAGGATGGTGGATTATATGAATATATTTCTAATCTATAGTAGCTATGGCGTTCCGTATATTTAATAAATTGTGTCTTTGAACTGTAATTTTAAATGAGAGAAACTGGGATGATTCCCTAACGAGTTTTGCTTAACTACATAACCTTTTACAATTTTAACTGTTTAGAGGAGAAAGAAAAAAAAGGGAGAGTTGAAAATTTAAAATAAGAGAAGAGAAAAAGAGGTAGTGAAAAGGAAGTAGAGACTGGATTAAATCTAGAATACTATATGGCCTGTTTATCAGTCTTACCTAATACACTATGTAAATATCATGTCTATACTTTTGCTGTCTTTGTCATGTATTAACGAAATCTTTTTTTAAATAGGTGATATGTGGGGAAGATTTTGGATAAATCTGTACCAGTTGACAGTACCTTTTGAACAAAAACCAAACATAGATGTTACCGATGAAATGGTGAACCAGGTAGGAAGAAGAGGCCTTGAAAACCAAATCTAACTCCTCAGCGTCATTACTTTTAATGCCATCCTTCTCTTCCTATCTTTTGTATTTGAAACCATGTAAAAATAAAAAATGTCAAGCTAATTTAAATTTATTTCTTATGTAGCTATCTTTTCATGGAAAAGGTTTACAACGTCAATGACATCAAGTACCTTGAATAACAGGTAGGGTATTGATCTTACTGAGCGATATTAAAAATGGAGATGACCTAGTTTTCCATTAAGCAGTAAGATGTGGAGTTATCAACTGGTTGACCTCACTCTTTCTAAAGTTAGTCATTGCTAAGTAATCAGTCAGTAATCTCTATGAATAGTGAAAGAAAGGATATCATTAGAAGGTGTTTGCATATTTAAAAAATTATTATTGTTGAAAACCAGTCTTTAAAATAATTTTTTAATCACCTTTCTGTTGCCATCTTGGCATAATTGTTTAAATTCTTTGTGTTCCCTTCTATCGATGAAATCAATTATATACTTTTATATAATCATATAGTTTTATAAAAGTTATAAAGTTATAATTATATATTTTTCTTTATTCAGGTAATAGTCTACATTCCTGAGTAGAATTCATAGTGATACTTCTATTGACTGTAAAATTTCTTCAGATAGTTCTAGCATCATTTACTTTACGCTTCAGGCTTTGCTGGACTTCTGCTTGTGAACAGTTTTAAATCAGCAATGCAATGAACATCTTCACATAAGGAAAGAAGCCACAGCCGAATAAAAACGTGAAGGTGCAAGGGCCTCCTGACTCTTGCAGCTGTTTTAGCTCCATTTCATAGTTGAGCAGCAAAAGAGGCCCATCCTTATGTTGCCCCTTGGCCTATCTATAGTGTTTTTACACCCATCATCTCTCCTAATGTTGTCTTTACAGCAAACCTATGAGACTATCGGGATAGATATTGTGATAGTTCCATGTTGTAGGTGAGAAAACTGAAGTTTAGGTAAATGACTTGCCCAAAGTTAAACGACAGTCAGTGGCAACTAAGGTTTGAACTCAGAACTTCTAATATTTCCAGTCTGGTTTTCTATTCAGTCATTATTCTTTCAATAGGTATTAACTGTGCTTACTAGTCTACATTGTTTTGGTATACATTCATTCTGTTTAACAATGCCATACTCGTTAATACCAATATTATATGACATTAAGCCTTTATAGGTCAATGATAAAAAAAAGCCATAGTGTCATATCCCATTTCATATCCCTGAGATTGACATAGGAGAAAAACCGGACTTGACTGTTCTTCGAGATCAGGAAGTTTTCTGTGTCACTAAAAGTGATTCATGAAGTATCTGCCAATTATACAAACTCGGTTTGCTTTATGTGGGCCTCATCTCCAAAGAAGTCTTGGTCAACTCCAGGGACACTGGCTCCAGAAGAGTTTGCTAGATGGCAGAAACCTACTGATGCCCCACTCCAGTTCCAGAACATTCAAAAGTTCAGATTCCCATACAGAGTATGAAGCCAAGGCCCAACTACCCATTGGCTCCTGGGTCACATGTGTACCTTTTTGGTTCCAAAAGCTCATGACATTGCGCCTACATTATTGTTTGTGTCTTCCACTGAGCCTAAAACCAGGGCCTTGCTCCTTGAAGGAGCTCAATCAATGATTGTTGGCTTGGGTTAGTTTTTAGCAAAGAGGTCGTTGTTTATATTTGGAATATAAAGAATAAAGACAGAAAACATCACACAATGTCACTCAGTCTGTTAATATTTTTGTGCATTTCCTCATTAAGAATTTACTATATAAGTGGTTTATATATTCTACTTTTCATTTGCTAATTTATTCATATTTTCCAGTCCACAAAGTCATTATCATTTATTTATTCATTTTAGTGGTTGTGTTTCCACTTTTTTCCTTATTAAAAATCAATTTACATGCTCTACAGCTTAAATTTACACAATGTGATATGTCAAATATATTTTAATTAAAAATAATAATAAACAAAAATCACTTTAAATGTAATTCTTGGACCTAATGTCTGAGAATTTCCTAGGTTAGTTCTCTAGAGACAGGATTACTGAGACAAAGAGCATAAATACTTTGAAAACTATCCATACATGTTGCCAAATTGCCTTCCAGAAAGGTTATGTCTATGTACATATCCAACAAAAAGAATATTATTATTTAATGCTAGAATTAAATGCTGTTCTTTATTTTTTTTTTTTTTCCAGAACTGGGATGAAAAGAGGATATTCAAGGAGGCTGAGAAGTTCTTTGTGTCTCTTGGCCTTCCTAATATGACTGAAAAATTCTGGGAAAAATCTATGCTAACTGAGCCAGGCAATGACCAGAAAGTGGCCTGCCACCCCACAGCTTGGGACCTGGGGAAAGGCGACTTCAGGTAGCGAGGCTGATACTTACATAGCTGATACTAAAATGGGAGACAAGGGAGGCAAGGATGAGGGTGAATTTGGATTCCTTCTCTGCTTCTCTGAGCACAGAAGAGATGACTGAATTCTCCTTGAACAAGAGCTGAGAGTCCATGAGAGCACATCTGTGCTTTCCCAGAAAAAGGGGATTGCCAGCAGGTCCTAACTTGAACCTTTACACAATTTGCCTCATTTGCAATAACATGCACTCATTAGAGTTGCATAGACATGGGTATGGTGGTGCTCCCATTAGGAAAGTTTGGATGCTAACGTTTATGGAAGATGGATGTGTGAATCAGGCATCGACTCTCCCCTCCAAGTTTCCCTCTAGCGAGTGAGACAGGACAGGTGAATAAATAAGCTGGGATGAAAGGGAGAAAGTGGTATGTGTCATAAGAGAAACACAGGGAACACTCTATGAGGAATTGGAAGAGAACTCACCACACCTGAAATAGTGGGTAGATCAGACAGGGCTCTTCAGGAGTTCTTTGAATTGGACTTGAAAGACACGAAGGGTTCGGACAGACAGAGCTGGGTGGAAGACACTGGGATAGGAGAATAGCAGGATTGAATGCAAAGAGACAGGAACTGGCATTGTGTCCTGGAGTCAGTAAGTTTGGCTAGAATACGGGGCATATGTAGAAGGGTCTGTGATATGGCAGAATGAACATGGGCTTTTGAATCCTACGTGTCACTTAATGACTAGGCAACCTTGGGCAACGTACTTAATCTTCTTGCGTTTCAGTTTCCTTGTCTATAAAGTGGAATAGTAATTCCCAGGTTGCGTGTGTCTTAGGTCAGGTTCTCTTGATTGAGATGGGGATTCTTGTGTTAGTGCTGTGTTGAGGGAGAGCGCTCAGGCAAAGGGGAGCCAGGGAAGCAGGATGGGGCAGGGGAAAGAGGTAAGTAAGGGTGCCGTCTTGGCTGGAGATTTGCCGCAGCCTGATCCCACGGGGCTCTCTGGAGCATAATTGTACAGCAGAGTTGGTCACAGCCGGAGACAAGAGGACTGACCTTTTGTACCAGCCCCCTGTTTAGTCAGTCATTGGCTGTGGACTGCCTCCAGAGTGTGGGGGGACACAACTTCCAGGTTGAGGCACCTCGCATTTCTCCAAAGGAAATTAAAAAGGAAGCAGCTATTGGCCTTTGATGGCTGTGCCTTGGGCAACCGGGAGATGGGTGGATCTGCCTGCTTAAGCAGATCTGGCCAGGGCCCCAGCAGCGTCCTTTTCTGTAAAGGGTCAGATAGTAAATAGTTTAGGCTTTGCAGGTCTCTACTGCAACTACTTAGCTCTTCCCTTGTGGCAAGAAAGCAGCCCCAGACAATACATAAACAGATGGGTGTGGCTATGTGCCAATAAAGCCTTATTTATCAAAACAGGTGGTCAAACATAAGCCATAGTTGACTGACTCCAGGGCTAGAGTGAGGCTTAAAAATGAAGAAGTATATGTGAGTGTCCTAGTGCAGGATCTTTCATACAGAAGACATCACATAATAGAGTAGCTATTCTTATAATTGTTTCAAAAGAGAATGGAGAAAAACCAAGTTAGAAAAGCAGGTCATGCTGGGGTGTATAAAGGAGGTTGAGTTTATTCTTTTTTTTTTTTTTTAGTTTATTCTTAAGCAGTGGGGAGTTCTTAAAGGGTATTTATTAGGGAGATGACACGGTCAGAGTGGTAGGAAAATTAAGTTGGGAACCTACTGGAATATGACTCCTACATTTACCTGAATGAAATTGCTCTTGCCAAGTTGAAAAGGACCACCACCTAACTGCCAGATGCAGTGCTTATTTCACTGGTTTAAATATGGGTTACGGCATCATTAGATAACATTTACAAGTTGTCTTTGAAATGCTGTATTTCATTGGCCTCTGCACTGCCATCCTCTTCTGGGCTTTAACTTCTCTTTCTATCTCCTCTGAAGCATTTTTCTCTCCCTACTTCGTATGTACTAGGACCTCTTAGGGCTTTGTCTTTGGCCCTCTTTTCTTGCCATTCTGCAGCTGCTTCATGGGCCACCACATTCACTCCCTGACTTACATGCTAATGATTCCTAGAGGCCAATTTCTAGCCCCTTCTCCTACTGCTTCTCTATCCCGAATATACCAGACCGCTTGCAGCATCCTGAATGCCACATTCTTTTCTCAAGCCTTTCTCACTGAGCACCTCCAGGAATGTCAACCTCTTATCCCTCCCTGTGATTTACCTGGCAAACTTCTGTGTGTCGATTAAGGGTCCAGATTGCTCATCGCATCCTCGGTTATGCCCTTCTTCGTGCTTCTAGGAAACCGTGCCTGCACTCGCTCACTGTTATGCCCAAAGTCACGTCTGCTGATCACTTATGGAGAACTCGTTCTCAGAATTTTTGTAGTAGTAGACTCTGCTTATCTTTCTTTCTATTAGCCTGTGAGCAGAACAGGATTCAGCCCTGCCCATCACTTTATATTGAGCACCTAGTACAGTTTCTAGGACATAAAAGGTAGGGCCTCAAGATTCATTGGTGAATAAATCTTGGAAAGATGACCCATGATACCAAAATCCCATACGACTCTACTGTGATGATGAAATGAAATTCAATGACATTCATTTTAATCGTGCCCATTTACGTGCAGGATCATCATGTGCACAAAGGTGAAAATGGAGGACTTCCTGACAGCCCATCATGAGATGGGACACATCCAGTATGACATGGCATATGCCACACAACCGTACCTGCTAAAAAATGGAGCTAATGAAGGGTTTCATGAAGCCGTTGGGGAAGTCATCTCACTTTCTGTAGCTACACCTAACCATCTGAAAAACATGGGTCTTCTGCCACCTGATTTTTATGAAGACAATGGTATGGACATTTTTTCATTGCTTATTTGGGGAATTTTTTTAGTCCGATGTGGGCAAAGGTATTTATTATCATGCACAGGATATATTTAATTTTTGCCACATAAAGTATAAGGTATTTATGGATAACTTGGAATTGCTACTGGTAAAAACAATTAAGTATCACACCATGCCAATTGTGGTTTTGTATCTCTCAAAAGCGCATAAGAGAGGTAACTGAATAAATGGTCTTGGGGCTCTAAGAAACATCTAACGGAAAACAGGCCCACAGAACTGAAACGGCTTACCCAAGGTCACTTAGCTAATTAGTGTCAGAGTTCTGACTGGAACTCTGGTTCTTGGTAAAAAATTCCCACAGCCTTAGAGCTGGAACAGATTCTAAAAAGCATTTTGCAGAGGAAGCAAATTGATGACAAGAGGGAAAGTAACTAGCCCAAAGTCAAAAAGCAACGTGACAGAACAGAACCAGAGCCCTAATCTAAAGCTTTTCCCATAATATTATGCAAAGTGAAGGGTAACTTGAAATAGGGAAATTCTTTAAAAACAGGGGTCAGATATTTGGTGACGGACAGAAATCTTACTTTGAGCGGTGAACACACAATGCAATATATATAACATGTTGTTGAATCATACACTCGAAACTTATTTGATTTTATTAATCAATGTCACTCCAATAATTTTAGTTATAAAAACAGTAGTGGCATATCAAAATTGGAAGGGACCGAAATGTCCCGTTCATCCAACAGAAGCATGAATTTGCCCCTGTGACATCCCCTCAGATCCATGCTATTCTTCAGAATCATTGCCTGAGGCAGCCTGTTTCTCTTTGGATGGCTTGGACTTAATAGAATATGACAAATGTTCACAAGATCCAGCTTCTTCAGCGAGGATATCATAGCTTTTGATTCTCCCTTGTAAAAGAGGGATACTTAGAGCTAAATATGTTCTTCTCTTTCATGTATTTCTGTCCTCTCATTTTAGTTATTTGAGACATAAACATCAGCTGTGCTGGTTGAAAGGTTTGGTCAATGAGGTCAAGGTCATGAGCTTCATTCCTGTGTGGGCAATTCACTTTGCCTTGATTTCTGGCCCAGATCTTGGTGATCTCATGAGGGCCTGGGAGTAGGTCAGTGTAAAGCCATAATCGTGTCTGAAAAAGTTCCTGTAAACAGACCAAGTGGGAAATGGATGAGCATCCTCCCATGAAGGGAGCAAAAAAGGAGAGGGAGTTCCTGGTTACCACACCTGTTTCCTAATTTTAAACTTTCATTCTCAAGTCAAGTAACAGACAACTACTTGTTCTATCATTAAAAAATATATATTCCCTGACAGCACGCAAAGATGGTCGAATCACGAAAACAGTACTAAACATGGTTAAACTCTGGTTTGAAAAACTCTTTCTTTGGTTCTGCTCTTAATGTTAAACAAATGAGTTCCTTTATTTTTTCTCTCCCTCCCTCCTTCTTCTCTTCCTTTCTTCTTCCAAAAATATTTATTGCATACATACTATGTGCAAGGCATATTTCTAGACACCAGAGATAGAGTGGTGTTCCAAATAGTTAATATCCCCCTACTCACATCTCAGTGAGCTTCATCTGTACGCTGGAGTGAGTTCTACACCCTTTTTACATCACTAATAAAGGATAATGAAATAACATAATTTGTTAAAGTGTTTTAAACTCAGGTAAGAAGATGTCCGTACATTTAAAGTCCATTGTACTTCTGATTATCTAGTAGATGGTTTCCTCGGGGGAGGCTCTTTTTTGTTTGTTTGTTTTTTCACTCTGTTTTGCTGGCTTTTAGCCACGTCTGTTTTTTATTTGATTTTTATTTTTTTAATAATGACACAGAGGGCGTCATGTAGCAGACAGCGGGCCAGGTATACAGTCTTGAATGAAACATTATCAGTCACTGCTTTCATGGAGCTTACAAGAATAAACAGCATGACTGGGAAAGTAGATGACATAGCCCTAATTAGCTCTGATAAGAAGTATTTAAGGAAACCAATTGAAACTAATGAAAAAAATGAGGATTAAGCTTTATCTTACCTGTTCTATCCAAGACTTTACTTCAAATTCCTTAACCGAGATAATGAATATATGGCTTTATCTTACCTGTTCTATCCAAGACTTTACTTCAAATTCCTTAACCGAGATAATGAATATATACATATTATTATGTCCAATGTCAATATTTGTCATGTAATCACCTTTATAGTAAGTATATCTTGAGGAATATTTTGAGATTAGGAAATTATCCAACACAAGACATCCATTGTCATCCTCATCTTAATATTTATCCTTTTACATTTTACTTTCAGAAACAGAAATAAACTTCCTACTCAAACAAGCGCTTAATGTCATTGGAACTTTACCGTTTACTTACATGTTAGAAAAGTGGAGGTGGATGGTCTTTAAGGGTGAAATTCCCAAAGAGCAGTGGATGAAAAAGTGGTGGGAAATGAAGTAAGTCAATGAATATGCGATCGGTAAAATGTTTTCTCATGAATTTGCTGTTTATCTAAAAGCATTCGACTGATAACTTGCTTGATAACACACCCTTTGGGAGCTGCCTTCCTTTCCCTGCCTCAGTTCCTCACTGCTTTGCCAACGTTTCCTGGCACCATTGCCCAGGACCTTGTCTCAGGATCTGCTTCTGTGATCGGGGGTCTCGGAGAATTCTTCACAGTCACAACACCTGGGATTTCAATGGCTAAAGCTTGAAATCTGGTGATGTGGGGCTAAACCTGTGAAAATGAGAGAGAAGTACATTCAGGCTAGGGAGGTGCTATCATCACGCGCGCGCGCGCGCGCGCACACACACACACACACACACACACACACACACACACACTAACTGCTTCCATTTTATTTTTTAAGTATTTATTTTGGTGCTCTCTCCTCAGATAACATTTTTTTTGGTTCTTCCCCCGACCGAAGCAGGTTCAGGTGGCATAACTTCTCATGCTTTGTTCTTCTGAAGTGTTCAGTCACCCATTGAACTATGATATTATTTAGGAAGCGATCAATTTATTCATTTTCATTCTTTTAAACAAAAAATATTGACCCTCATCTTTTAGGCAAAGCACTGGGGATCCAATGCTGATCATTTCGGATGTTCTCCTTGACTTCAGAGAACTTTAGTCTACGGGGGGATGTGGCAAATGAAACCACTGCAACGTGTCGTGTTGTGATGGGAGGAAATGAGGACCCATGGGCACCCCAGCGAGGGTCTAAAGCCCAATCTGGTGGGTCAGATGGGGAGAGGATTCCAAGTCGAGCTCTGAGAAAGGTGTGGGAGGCAACCAGATGTGTGTAGAGGGAACAGAGAGAGTTCCAAGCTATAGAGAGCCTGGCACTTTTGGACAACGGATGGTGATCCGTTTATCGTTTTAGCACTATGTTTGTTGTCTTGTCCCAAGTGCCTTGCACAGTGCCTGACACTTGCAGGGATGAAGTAAATGGGTTTTACATGAAAGATAACTGAGGAAGACAGGAAGGAAGGAGGGAGGGGGAAAGAAGGGAAGAAAAGAAGGAAGGAAGGAAGGAAGGAAGAAAAAAAAGGAAGGAAGGAAGGAAGGAAGGAAGGAAGGAAGGAAGGAAAGAAGGAGAAATAATGGAGGGAAATCTTTCCCCCACCATCTATTAATCAGACTCTTGCCAATTTTTTTCCATTTTCTTATTTTTTCTTTTTGTAGTGACGATCTCCCCATGTAATATTCAGCCCCATATCCGTAAGTTTAAGTGCCACTTTTCTGCAAAGATTCTCTGTTAATAGAAATCCTACTTGGGAGGAAGGAGGCAGCGGCCACTATAATAACTGTTTCTAGCATTTGAGTATTACGAAATTGTGTCTATAATGATCCCACAATCGGATAGGACAAATGTTTTAAGCTTAAACGATGTCAAATACACGATTTCCCTGCCTTTTTTCTAAATGAATTATTTTTTTTATCCCTTTTAGTTTATTTTTAAAGATACATGGAATCAGACCCTTAAGATTATTCACTAATGCATTCATTACTCTGTTCATTCAACAAATACACATGAAGTCTCTCCTTACCATTAGACACTGTTTGACATTGGAACTCTAGAGATGACCGAGACACAGCCATGCCCTCTTGGAGCTCAAGTCTCCAGGGAAAGAAAGAACTGTAAGAGCTGTACGTGAACAATTATAAAATGGAGAAATGGCAAAGGAGGCACAGCCAGAGAAGACTAAGGGGGCTGGAGGGGTTTGCTCTGCTGACGGGTGGGTGGGAACATGGGCAGGTCTCACAGAAGCGGATATTTGAGCTAGCCCTGAAGAATAAGGAAGATTTCAAAATTACAAAATTCTGTCTTCCAGGAGCACATAAACTGTGGTGCCAGAGAGGAATTATTAGGGCTTTCATTATACGTTTTTGGCCCTATAATGCACTTTATTAAATCAGTGTTTTGAAGACACGGCTATTTTCCAATGGTATAGTCTGGCTGAATTAAAAAAGGAAGAGATAACCACGTGATGGGCTGTATTCTGTAATTTTGGGCACTGTGTCTATTTCACCTGACAACCAATTCCAGTAAAAATGCCATCCGTTGATGAGACTGCGCCCAGCTGTACCTTCTCACGGTCAGCGACTCACAGCTAATGTTTCTTCTTTTTTCCACAAAGGCGAGAGCTGGTTGGGGTGGTGGAACCTCTGCCCCATGATGAAACATACTGTGACCCTGCATCTCTGTTCCATGTTGCTAATGATTACTCATTCATCCGGTAAGCGACAGTTTTCTTCTTACTGTTTAACTTATAGGGTTATGGACAGCCGTACTAACGATAAAGGAATAGGGATCTATGAAGCGATGGCTATAATTTCTCTCTCCAGCTCCACTCACTCCCCCTAAAACCTCAAAATAGATGATAATTTAACTCAACCTAATTTAACTCAATTTAGCTCAACATAATTTATTGGGTTAAATAAAACTGCGTGAGATGTTTTCTACACCATCAAGGAATTTATAGTATCCTTGGGAGAAAAGCAAACAGGTATTTTTGTTTGTATTCTTGTTACTGGCGGAGTTCAGAGTGATTGTAATGGAGAGAGAGCTTTTAATGTGAAGTCACAAAATCTAGGTTCTTCACCCATTAGCGCCAGATATATATATTTTTTCCATTAGCCCCAGATCTTGAATTTGCTAAGCCCATTTCTTTATTTGTAAAGAGAAAATAACATTATTGACCTGCTGTAAGGATTGATTGGCAGAATTTATATGTAAGGGCTAGAAATCTATAAAACACAATACAAATGTGAGCTAATATTTAACAAAATAGTACTGCGTTTTTATCAGCTGATACAGAAATGCAAGTAGATGATGTTCTATATGAACTCTATAGAGTTCATATTTTGGTTTTTCTGGAGAAAGAGGTTTGACTAGTATCTCTTTAGTTATGAGGGCCTCAGAATTTAAACATGTGCCCTAATCGGTGACCCTCTTGCAGCAACTAAACAGGGACTTGCCTTTTTGTTTGTCTCTTTTACAGTTATTACACAAGGACCATTTTTGAATTCCAGTTTCAAGAAGCCCTTTGTCGAATAGCTCAACATGAAGGTCCCCTGTACAAATGTGATATCTCAAATTCCACTGAAGCTGGGAAGAAGCTCCAGTAAGAAATGCTTCAAAATGTCGAACCTCTTCTGCTATCCCAAATGACTCATTTCTATGCCTAGGTGTAAATTTGATTTCTCTGTTCTAAAAAGAAAAATTGTGTCCCCAAAATGTCCTCATCTATCAATTAAATGTTTATTTTTGAGATCACACGAGGACCTAGAGCATGTGATGGCTGGACAGGCCACCTCCTTTCTCTATGTCATAACTACAGAGTTCCCTTTGTAGTAATTGGAAGGGAGGAGAAATTGAAGGATGAATACATCCGTTAACGCACCTTATTTTCTCATCTGCCAGGAGCAAACTTAGCCAAACCAAAGAGTAGAAACCGTAGATCATACATGTAAATACATGAACATCTGGAATCCCTTAAAAGGCCCTGAACCCACCCTCCTTTTTTTCATGTAGCGAAATGCTGAGCTTTGGAAAATCAAAACCCTGGACCTTAGCATTGGAAAGTATCGTAGGAACAAAGAATATGGATGTAAGACCACTGCTCAACTACTTCGAGCCCTTGTTTACCTGGCTGAAAGACCAGAACAGAAATTCCTTCGTGGGATGGCGCACCGACTGGAGTCCATGTGGGTTCCCCAAGCTGATACATTTTGAATAGCTCCCTTTCTGCTTCTCCGAGTCTTCTCTGGCCCCAGTCTCACGGGGCTGTGACACAGTCCCTCTACGTAGACCCTGCTTCTGACTGTGCTATGATGGCAACTGCCATTTGATTGAGGAGGAAACACAATATTTCTTGAGTACCTACTATATACCCATGAAAACTACTCTTTCTCATCTGCTTTGTTAGCTCTCTATTTAAAATAAAAGAATGTATCAGTCCTCAGCCCACCGTACTCAAATCCTGCTCTTAAAAGACAGATATAACAATCTTCATGCTCTTACCTCTTCTTTCTGGCAGTTACTTTCACATTTCTACACAATTTGTTTACATTATTATTTCTTTATTGGTCAGTTTTAGACATGCACTTCTGCCTATTCTTCCAGCTCCCTTTCTCATTCTTCCGGTAAACCTTTATAATGACTCTTAGTAAAGAAATTATCAATATTTACATCATTACGTCTGCATTGCTGAATCATATACTATTTTATGTCCTTTCTTCTGTGGCTTTTTTGTTTGTCCCGGAGTTTCTACTGCCTCGTTTATTGTTACATGCCTAATTTGTTATCTACGTTGCATTATTTTTTTTTCCAACTATTTCAATATACCTATTCTTTTCAATCTCATTTTTTCCTAGACTTTCCTCTTAGAGTCTTACATGCGCCTATCTCAGTCTGGACTATAGTTTTCATCCAGAGTCATCCCTTCGATGATTCCTGCGTTGAATCCTCCAGGGCTTCCTGGATTCCATGTCTTCCTTCCTGAATTAACTCTTGTTTGCTGCAGCACAGCGTTCAAGTGATTTTCTAAGCAAGAGCATGTGGGGAAGGAGGATTAACTGTTCCCCAAAGTGGCTTTAATGTACCTTGACTTGCATTCCCCTCGTTTTCAGTCCAGTATCTTCTTTCCGCCTCTGGCTGTATCGGAATCCCACGTCTCTCTGGGATTCTCTGGGAACTTTGAGGTCTGTGCCGCCTCTGTGTACATAGTAGGCCATGGCCGCCTGACCCTTGAGAAAGCTCTTACCGCTCCTCCATGACTTCCCATTTTCCAAAAGCATGTTTATAACTTTTTAAAAATTCCTTTACTATCATTTTAGTGGGATCTTGGGAGGGGGCGGAAATAAACACACAGGGTCAATCTGTCATCCGTAACAACAGTCTGTGATTTCTGTTTAATCAGATGCCGACCAAAGCATTAAAGTGAGGATAAGCTTAAAATCAGCTCTTGGAGAAAACGCCGTGAGTATTCTGGACAGTGCGCCCATGACTTTAGTGCATTCCCTTAACCAGGACACAATAAGGCCATTCCAGTGTGGTCTAAAAGATGAGGGGCCTCATGATTCTCTTAAGAGCCATGAGCCCCAGATTCTGGCCTCTGATTGAATGCTATGTCTACTTTTTCTTTGTTACTTTGAAGATGTTGTATTAAAGATCAATGAGAAAACATTCAATCTTAAATACCAAATACCCACCCTTCCAACTCATTCTTATCACCATTACTTGTATTCAAGGAAGAGAACATGGTTACATTTTGAGAAGTTGTTTGTTTTTAGAAGTAGTGTAGGAAGCTTTGCTTTGCTTTAGTCAATCATCTATATCCTGGAATCTTGTTAAAAATGAAGAATCTTAGGCCTCAGCCCTGGAGCCAGCTTAATCAGAATCTGCATTTTAACAAGCCCCTGGGTCATTTGTATACATAATAAAGACTAGGATGCTCTGCTTTAGAACACTGTGTCTCAAACCTGGAGGCACACTGGAGTCATATGTGATGTTTTCAAAATATTAATGTTTGAGTCCCATTCCCAGAGAGTCTGACTTAATTGCCCTGGGGTGTGGCATCAAGAGTTTGGGTATCAGAGTTTTGAAAGCTCCCCAAGTGATTTTAATTACAGCAATGTTCGAGAAATGATGTAGAGATGCATTTCAGGATAACTAAATATTTTACAGAAAATCACGTTACCTACACTAAGTGTGAATTACTTTAATCAGCTAATGCTTTCTCCTAAACACCTGTTTCAGGTTATCCAGTCTGAAGAAGTAGTGGCTTTGGTTGGGAAAGAGGAGAAGGTCGTCCCAGGCAGATGGGGAGCAAAGGCCTGGATGGGGTCATGGCACCCTGAAGGCTTTGCAGGATTGGAGGATAGTCTGGGACTATTGGATAAAACAGTCCAAGGTGCTATAGGAAATTGTTATTTGCACCGGATAGATCCAAAGATTGCATTTCTATCCCCTTAGTTTTCCTGGGAAGTTAAATATTGTCCACGGCTCCAGGGTCGTTGTAGTATAATTTTCATGGATAAGACATCTGAATATCAATAACATAGTAGGAATAAAAAATGACCATTTAAGAAACAAAGAATAAAAATGGAGGTGCATCACTTCCCGAACCCTGTAAGTTCAACTTCCTGTTTGCTAATAACCACTGAATGTCTATGGGATTATTTCTCTTTCTGTTATATTTTTATTAGCTTTCCCTTGGTCTAGTAAATTTTCATCACTTTAAAGTATCCAGCAGATCAGATTCCTTTCAATTATATATATATTTTTTGACATTTGTCCCATGTGCTCTTTCCATGCATTGAGGGATTGGTAAATAGTCTTCAGAGGGTTTGATGGTGTAACACTCTGAGGCTGATTCACTGAGCAAAAGGCTCCTTTGATGAGATGAGAACCATACACCTCTCGGGCAGCTACTACACATCAGAGCCAGAATGTCTGTCCAGTTCAAGCTATCTCATGGCAAAGTCCAACTGGATCTTTTGAGAACTCAATCTTTATTTTTTTTAATATAGAAATAGCAACCAGAATATTATTAGTATTAGTATTAATAATATTATTATTACTATCGAAGCAACTTTTTCCAAAGCCCGGATGATATCATGCTGAAGTTAATGTAACAATTCTTTTGTGAAATCTCGTCATCGTTTTTCCTAAAAGGAAAAGGACAGGTGCAAAATTTGTGCCATTCGCTGCTTTTTTTCTCTTAAGTTTTTCATAGACTATGCAAATACGCTATGCGAACTGTGCAAACACACTATGCAAGCCATTTGTTTAGCCCTGAAAAACAAGAACAAATTACCTTGTTTACGAAGAGTTATTTTTCCCTTTGAATCTCAAGTTTCTTTATCTTTTACACATATCTGAGAACTTACTATAAAAATAGTAAAAACTCGGCATATTTGTCTACAACATATGGACATTTTAATCAAAACCCACAACTTGCATTTGTCACATCTATAAACCTGCCCTCAGAGTGTGTATTTCAGCTTACATCAAACTAAAGTCAAAGAATCAGCGAACCCTGTGGTTCTTAAAGCACGGTTGCCTGACTAGCAGCAGCATTAGTACGGCCTGGGAGCTTGTTAGAGATGCATGTTCTTGGGTCTCATCTGAGACCTTCTGAATTAGAAACTCTGAGGGTGGGATCCAGTATTCATTAACTTAACAAGGCCTCCAGGTGATACTTGATATGCACTTCAGCTGGAGGTCCCTGACTTCATGAACAGCGAGAATCTTTGGAATATTAGAAAATTTAACAATAATGCTTACAGATGATCAGATTTTGCATGTATCCTGTGATCCCTACTGAGCAGTGTTTTTCTTCTGAATTTGCAGTACGAATGGAATGACAATGAAATGTACTTGTTCAAGTCATCTGTTGCCTTTGCCATGAGAGAGTATTTTTTAAAAGTCAAAAACCTGACAATTCCTTTTGGGTGAGTTGATTTTGCTGTGCTCTCAAGTTACTTCAACCAGAACTTTCCTTATTCTTGAGTCTGAAGAGATATTGAGCTTAACCTTTCAAATTAAGAAAAACCTCCTAATGACGTTTAAACTTCTTTGATATCCTGGAACTTGGGCCACTGTATTTTTGGGGCGATTGTGACTTATAGGACTTGGAGATTGCAAAAGCATTGTTCTTATTAAATGCTGGTCTCCTTTCCTTTTCCCTCCTGTCTCTTCCCCTCCCCTCCTCTCTATTCTTTCCCTCTTCCCTTTCCTCCTTTAAATGCTGTCATCCACCCTCAGCACTGAAAGAAAAAGGCAGAAACCTTTGCTTGTATTCTAATGTATATGTTTTGTGTGTGTGTTACGATCAACAAACTATAGAAGTGAAATATAGTAGAATTACATGGTTATAAGTGCTACGGTGAAAAATACAACAGGAAAAAGGCTAAGGAGTGCTGTGCACGTGTGTATGTGTGTATATAGAGTTCAATTTTCATTAAAATGGTCAGAAAAGGTCTCGTTAATATTTGAGCAAATATTTGAAACCAGGGAGATAGCCGGTAATACAGACAATGGGGGAAAATGTTTCACTTAGGGAAAGTAGCAGGTGGAAAGATCCTGAGGAATGAATGAATATGCTTCACCTGTCGAAGGAACAGCCAAGAGGCCAATGTGGCTGGAGCGGAGTGAGCTAGCGGAAGATAAGTAGGAGGTACGGTGGGTAGGACAGTCCTGGAGCCTGGGGGTGGGAAGGGGAGAAGAAAGTTCATGTGGGTCTCACGAGCCATTCTAAGGACTTTGGCTTTTATTTAGAGCGAGAAGGGCTTTGAGCTCCATAATCTGCCTTAGGTTTTGTTAGGATCACTCTGGCGACGGTGAGAGCACAGTCTTGTCACACTGTCCTGTAAACCCCACTCCTTACCCTCGCCCTGGGTGCAACATGACACTCCTTTTCGTTGGTGGAGTAGGGTTGGAGGATGTAAACGCACCACTTCTGTCCGTGTCACTAAGCCACTGCTGTCTACCGTGTTGTTTATCACAATCCTGGGACACCAATGATTCCTCTGGTGCTTTCAGTTGGAAATTTTTCTAGAGTTGAAAAAAAAAAACACGTGGTTCTCGTATGGGAGCGGATTAGTGCCAAGACTTGGTATCACAACTTATGGAGTCGAGTTCACGTGCCTTGGGCAGTGTTAAGGGTTTTTTTTTGGACAATTACATCCTTCCGTTGTTTGGCCTGCCCCATATCTCTCTACTTAACCCTGCGACCCTCCCTCAGTCTCATGTTCACCAGAGGAAGTCTTCATTGTCCTTATTGTGTCCTCTGTGCTACAACGAAAGATGCTTCTTTTGTTTCTCTACAGGGAGGATGATGTGTGGGTGAGTGACCTGAAACCAAGAATCTCCTTCAACTTCTTTGTCACCTCACCTAATAATGTGTCTGACATCATTCCTAGAACTGAAGTTGAAGAAGGCATCAGGTGATATTTTGCTTTCGAACTATGTAAGATGGAGGGGGTTAACAGATACAACAATAACTAATATTGAGTGGGCTCCTACTGTGTGCCGGGCACTGGTCTGAGTCATTTATATGTTTTACCTCTTTTTAAAAACTTGGGTTTTAATTCCAGGAGAACCTCAAAGCAAGGAAATTGTCTTGATTTAGGTTCCTCCAGATACAGGGCCTTAGGCAAGGATTGGATTGTAAGTAGTTTATTTGGGAGGTGTTCACAAGAAGCACTGACAGGAGACAGAATGGAAGGCAGATAATAAGTGATATATTAGCGAGCAAATTACCACTATGGACAACTGGAGCTCCATTCTGCTGGGGAATTCTGGGAGACTACAGAATATGCACCCAAATTGTCCCAGCAGAGCTGGGGTATTTATTCATCACTTCTCATCAGTCACTGGCTGAGAACTGCTTGCAGGTGACATGAATTCCCCCGCAGTTCTGGCTTGCAGGCACGGCGGCACCTTATGGCCTGAGAATGCTCTTGGGCAAAGGCAAAAGGTACTGGCTGAGGAAAGTCTGGCCAGCACTCATGGAAAATGGTTTAAGTGCAGAAGGGACTTGGACAGGTATTGCTGTCACATGCTATGGGGACTTGGATGTAGCATTGATTTAATTAAGCAAAGTCTGAAACCAAGTAGGCCAGAATAGATTTCTTTAGACGTCAGCCAGCCTCCGCACGAGGAGAGGGACTCGCTGTGGGCAGGAAGGGTTTAGAAGGGACAGCTCACCCAGTTTGTCTCAGCTGTTTCTCAAAACAGCAAAAGTGAAGCATGGATCCATGGAGATGGTTCTCCTTAAATTAAAAAGCTTGATACCCACCGCTATAGGGACGCTCACTAGGTGGCCCTCGTGAGCTGCTGTTCATCTCTGGAGGCAGAACTAAGACCCGCTGGGCAGTGCGTTCGCCTGGGAAATCTACATTGGGGTGTATGACCCAACCATGCCCAGAGACTCACTGACCGCCTCCAAATGACTTGTTCTGTTTTTGGGGAAAAGTCCCAGCTGAGATCACCATGAAAGAGCCCAGCCCTCCTGCAAGCTGCAGGGGACCTCAAACTTCCTGTTTCCAGAAAGACTTGAGATACTTTCAGGCTGAGGTTGCCAACGGTTACATGACTAATTCTGCTTTGACCT